CTTAGGGCCACAGAATTGTTACTCAGGGACACAGAATTGTTACTTGGGACACAGAATTGTTACTGAGGGCCACAGAACCGTTACTTAGGCCACAGAATTGTTACTCAGGGACACTGACACAGAATTGTTACTGAGGGACACAGAATTGTTACTGAGGGACACAGAATTGTTACTGAGGGCCACAGAATTGTTACTGAGGGCCACACAGAATTGTTACTTAGGGACACAGAATTGTTACTGAGGGCCACAGAACCGTTACTTAGGGCCACAGAATTGTTACTTAGGGACACACAGAATTGTTACTGAGGGCCACAGAACCGTTACTTAGGGCCACAGAATTGTTACTTAGGGACACAGAATTGTTACTGAGGGACACAGATTGTTACTTAGGGCCACAGAATTGTTTACTGAGGACAGACACAGAATTGTTACTCAGGGGGACACAGAATTGTTACTGAGGGCCACAGAAACTGAGTTACTTAGGGCCACAGAATTGTTACTCAGGGACACAGAATTGTTACTGAGGGCCACAGAACTGTTACTTAGGGCCACAGAATTGTTACTCAGGGACACAGAATTGTTACTGAGGGCCACAGAACTGTTACTTAGGGCCACAGAATTGTTACTCAGGGACACAGAATTGTTACTGAGGGCCACAGAACTGTTACTTAGGGCCACAGAATTGTTACTCGGACAGACACAGAATTGTTACTCAGGGACACAGAATTGTTACTGAGGCCACAGAACCGTTACTTAGGGCCACATAAACGTTAATCAGGGACACAGAATTGTTACTGAGGGCCACAGAACCGTTACTTAGGGCCACATAATTGTTACTCAGGGACAGACACAGAATTGTTACTGAGGGACACAGAATTGTTACTGAGGGCCACAGAACCGTTACTTAGGGCCACAGAATTGTTACTCAGGGACAGACACAGAATTGTTACTCAGGGACACAGAATTGTTACTCAGGGACACAGAATCGTTGAATTAAAGAGTATGTCAGACAACATGCAGAGGAGTGGCAGAGGAGGCAATGTTTTAGGAGCGAGCAGACGTGGCAGCAGAGGAAGGGGTCGAGGCAGCACTATTCGCAGCCAGAGGCCAGTGCTCCCGGTGTCATCCAGCGGTCGTGTCTCCACCGACAACCCTGCCGTCGTCGATTGGTTGGCTCGGTCGTCTTCCTCTTCCCAGGTCACCTCTGACACCTACAGCCAACGGTCGGTGGGTACGTCAGACACAACCGTTAGTTGGCATGGCCCGGGACCAAGCCCACTGAAATCACGTGTCCTCTACCTGCCCCTGTCCTTTGGTGTGTTCCCTCACCAAGCGAAGTATCGCATGCTGTGGGCTCAGCCCCACTGTACAGTGAGGAAGAGCTAACAGAGGGCGGTCAGGAACGGGGGGAGACATCCGCCTTTTCAGCAGCCAGGCGAAGAAGTAGTGGCGAGGAGAGTGGCTCGGTAGCCGGTCTAGAGACAGGTCTGTCTCCTGACCCAGACGCAGCCGAGGGGGCTAGTAGTGAGGCGGAGACCCTACTTGATGATGAGGAGGTTGATCGCACTTGGCAGCCTCGTCGTCATCAGGCAATTTCTTCCGCATCATCAGGAGAAGAGGGTGGCAGCTTGGCAGCGAGCAAAACAGTCGGTGGGTTGCCCAGGAGACAGCAGCAGGGTCGCAGCAGTGTCAGTGGAGCCAAACGGCCACGGAGTAGAGCACCAGCTCCACTGCGCAGCCTACCACCACGGCCAGTAGTGGTGCCGGTGTGCACGGAGGAAGCAGCAGTCAGCCAGTGAGGAGTATCGGGGGCAAAGTTTCCTACTCTCGGCGGTGTGGCAATTTTTTGTCAAGCCGCCCGAGGAAGTAAACGTAGCCGTATGTGTCGACTATGTGGCCAGAAAGTCAAGCGTGGCCAGGGGGCCCATGTTGGGACTACAGCGTTGCGGCAGCATATGCAGCGTCGCCATTTGGTGGCCTGGGAAAACCGTGATAAAGATATACGGCGGTTCTGCCCGCCCCAGCCCCCGCTCCATCACCCGCTCCGTTACTTGCTCCGTCACCCGACGTCAATCGCCCTCCATCAGCCAGTCAAGGCTCCAACACCTCTCTGCTGAGGGGAGTTGTCGCTCGTTGGCATCTTCCGCTCTCGTTCAGATGCTCCTTCTCCTGCTACTCCTCTTCACGGATTCCGTCAGCAGTCTTTCTTGGAATCCGTTTCCAAGAGACAACAGTTTGCGAGCACGCACCCGACGGTGCAAAAGCTGAACGTCCTCCTGTCCAAGTTGCTGGTGCTGCAGTCCCTCCCTTTCCAAGTGGTGGACTCAGCACCTTTCCGAGAAATGATGGCTTGTGCCGCGCCGCGGTGGAGAGTGCCAAGCCGTCATTTCTTCGCCAAAAAGGCAGTGCCAGCCCTGCATTCACATGTAGAAGAGATGGTGGGCCAGTCTTTGAGCATGTCGGTCTCTGCCAAAGTGCACGGCAGCGCCGACGTGTGGAGCTGTAACTACGGTCAGGGACAGTACATGTCATTTACGGCCCACTGGGTGAACGTGTGTGGTGCCGTCACAGCCGCACCAGCAACTTGGACAGGTCACGCCGCTTTTGCCTCCACGTTTGCACGTCCTTGGTCCGGCAAAGATGTCCGCCTCTACCACCTCTTCTTCCGCCGTGTCCTCAGCCGCCACCCCCCCCGTGCCAAGTCCCATTACCCGACCGGCATATCACATGTGCAGGGCGCAACGGTGTCACGCTGTGCTGCACCTGGTATGCCTTGGCGAACGTAGTCACACAGGGGAGGAACTTCTCAGTGTAATGAACAGAGAAATCGACAGATGGCTGTCTCCGCGCAAACTCAAAATCGGAACCATGTTGACCGACAACGGAAAGAACATGGTGTCTGCTCTGCGTCAAGGAAGGTTGTGCCATGCGCCATGCATGGCTCACGTGTTCAATCTGGTTGTCAAGCGGTTCCTAAAATCCACCATCCCCCACTGCAAGACATCCTTAAAATGTCACGTAAACTTTGCATGCATTTCAGCCATTCCTACACCGCAAAGCACACCCTCCTTGAGCTGCAGCTGCAGCGGCAGAACGGAATTCCACAGCATCGCCTGATCTGCGACGTTGCAACAAGGTGGAATTCAACCCTACACATGTTAGACCGCCTTTACGAACAGCGAAAGGCCATCACCGATTTCCTGATGTTACAAGCGGATAAAGGTACTCCCCTGTGTAACTTTGATGTCAGCCATTGGCAGCTCATGCGTGACACCTGCCGCTTGCTCAGGCCCTTTGAGGAGGCCACGCTATTCGTGAGTCGGCAGGACTATGGGATGAACGACGTCATTCCTCTGTTGCACGTCCTGGAACAAATGCTGTTAACAATGGCTGGTCAGGGTGCGGTAGACGTGGCGCACAGATCTCAACGCCACATGACCCCTGTGGGGGCAGGACAGGAAGAAGAGGAGGAGGTAGAGGAGGACATTTGTGCTCAGGAATTATTGAGTGAAATGGGTGGTTTTTCCACTCAGCGGACAGGAGTGGAGGGAGGAGCAGGAGCATCTGGTAGAGGAGGAGGAGGAGGAGACAGAGGACCCAGACGCACCGTGGCAGTATGCTGTGGAGATGGAGGCAGGGAGTCCCTCGCATTCCTTGGCACAAATGGCCCATAGCATGCTCGCTTGCTTGCGTAGCGACAGCCGAATAATAACCATCAGACAGAGGGATGACTTTTGGCTGTCCACCTTGTTGGACCCTCGCTACCGTTCAAAAATGGTGGCCTTTTTCACACCTGCTGAGAGGGAGGCCAAAATAACGTACTATAAAAACCACCTATGTAGTCAGTTGGTCTCTGCCTTTGTGCGCCAACGTCCATCCTCAGACACTGTGGGCCCTGTGCGCTCGCGTTCCGCTGCCATGGCAGCAGGGGAGGGGTGGGGTGGTAGGAGCAGTGGCAGCTCCACCAGCAGCGGCTGCCTCAGTCTGCAGTCGATGATGAGTAGCTTTCTTCACCAGCGCAGTGAGGAAACTACTAACCAGCCGCAGCAGCAGCAGCAGCAGCAGCAGCATCAGGTGGACCTGGAGCAGGACCTCAAACAACAGGCTTGGGCCTACTTGGACAGCACCCTGCCAACCGAGGTAGACAATCCCCTTGACTACTGGGCAACGAAACTTGACCTTTGGCCCCAACTAGCTGAATTTGCCCTTGAAAGGCTGTCATGCCCGGCCAGTAGCGTGGCATCGGAGCGCGTGTTTTAGTGCGGCAGGAGGTATTGTAACTCCGCGGAGGACACGACTGTCCACCCAAAGTGTGGAGAGACTCACGTTTGTGAAAATGAATCAGGCGTGGATTAGTCTGGATTTCAAACCACCAGTTCCTGACACAACTGACTAAATCCGCCATGAATCATGCCTCAAACATGTGCCACTTTCAGGTCTCCTCACACACTGCTGGTGTGTTCCATTTTTTGTCATAGGGTGCTGGCAGATTACGGGCCTCCCATAGCTGCTGCCAGGCCCCTAATCTGCCATGGGCCCCTATATACCGCCTCCTCATGCTGCTGCCAAGGTCCAGAGTCTCTCATGGGTCCCTGTACGGCCTCCCATTGCTGCTGTCTGTCTCCATCGCCACACACTCCATGTGCCATGTGCCACTTTCAGGTCTCCTCACACACTGCTGGTGTGTGTGAATTTTTTGACATAGGGTGCTGGCAGATTACGGGCCTCCCATAGCTGCTGCCAGGCCCCTAATCTGCCATGGGCCCCCTATATACCGCCTCCTCATGCTGCTGCCAAGGTCCAGAGTCTCTCATGGGTCCCTGTACGGCCTCCCATTGCTGCTGTCTCCATCGCCACACTCTGCCATGTGCCACTTTCAGGTCTCCTCACACACTGCTGTGGTGTGTTGAATTTTTTGACATAGGGTGCTGGCAGATTACGGGCCTCCTATAGCTGCTGCCAGGCCCCTAATCTGCCATAGGCCCCTATATACCGCCTCCTCATGCTGCTGCCAGGTCCAGAGTCTCTCATGGGTCCCTGTACGGCCTCCCATTGCTGCTGTCTCCATCGCCACACTCTGCCATGTGCCACTTTCAGGTCTCCTCACACACTGCTGGTGTGTTGAATTTTTTGACATAGGGTGCTGGCAGATTACGGGCCTCCATAGCTGCTGCCAGGCCCCTAATCTGCCATGGGCCCCTATATACCGCCTCCTCATGCTGCTGCCAAGTCCAGAGTCTGTCATGGGTCCCTGTACGGCCTCCCATTGCTGCTGTCTCCATCGCCACACTCTGCCATGTGCCACTTTCAGGTCTCCTCACACACACTGCTGGTGTGTTGAATTTTTTGACATAGGGTGCTGGCAGATTACGGGCCTCCCATAGCTGCTGCCAGGCCCCTAATCTGCCATGGGCCCCTATATACCCGCCTCCTCATGCTGCTGCCAGGTCCAGAGTCTCTCATGGGTCCCTGTACGGCCCCCATTGCTGCTGTCTCCATCGCCACACTCTGCCATGTGCCACTTTCAGGTCTCCTCACACACTGCTGGTGTGTTGAATTTTTTGACATAGGGTGCTGGCAGATACGGGCCTCCCATAGCTGCTGCCCCAGGCCCCTAATCTGCCATGGGCCCCTATATACCGCCTCCTCATGCTGCTGCCAAGTCCAGAGTCTGTCATGGGTCCCTGTACGGCCTCCCATTGCTGCTGTCTCCATCGCCACACTCTGCCATGTGCCACTTTCAGGTCTCCTCACACACTGCTGGTGTGTTGAATTTTTTGACATAGGGTGTGCTGGCAGATTACGGGCCTCCCATAGCTGCTGCCAGGCCCCTAATCTGCCATAGGCCCCTATATACCGCCTCCTCATGCTGCTGCCAAGTCCAGAGTCTGTCATGGGTCCCTGTACGGCCTCCCATTGCTGCTGTCTCCATCGCCACACTCTGCCATGTGCCACTTTCAGGTCTCCTCACACACTGCTGGTGTGTTGAATTTTTTGACATAGGGTGCTGGCAGATTACGGGCCTCCTATAGCTGCTGCCAGGCCCCTAATCTGCCATAGGCCCCTATATACCGCCTCCTCATGCTGCTGCCAAGTCCTCAGAGTCTCTCATGGGTCCCTGTACGCCTCCCATTGCTGCTGTCTCCATCGCCACACTCTGCCATGTGCCACTTTCAGGTCTCCTCACACACTGCTGGTGTGTTGAATTTTTTTGACATAGGGTGCTGGCAGATTACGGGCCTCCCATAGCTGCTGCCAGGCCCCTAATCTGCCATAGGGCCCCTATATACCGCCTCCTCATGCTGCTGCCAGTCCAGAGTCTGTCATGGGTCCCTGTACGGCCTCCCATTGCTGCTGTCTCCATCGCCACACTCTGCCATGTGCCACTTTCAGGTCTCCTCACACTGCTGGTGTGTTGAATTTTTTGACATAGGGTGCTGGCAGATTACGGGCCTCCTATAGCTGCTGCCAGGCCCCTAATCTGCCATGGGCCCCTATATACCGCCTCCTCATGCTGCTGCCAAGTCCAGAGTCTCTCATGGGTCCCTGTACGGCCTCCCATTGCTGCTGTCTCCATCGCCACACTCTGCCATGTGCCACTTTCAGGTCTCCTCACACTGCTGGTGTGTTGAATTTTTTGACATAGGGTGCTGGCAGATTACGGGCCTCCTATAGCTGCTGCCAGGCCCCTAATCTGCCATGGGCCCCTATATACCGCCTCCTCATGCTGCTGCCAAGGTCCAGAGTCTGTCATGGGTCCCTGTACGGCCTCCCATTGCTGCTGTCTCCATCGCCACATGGCAGCTCAATGCGTGACACCTGCTCTTGCTGCATGCTTTGAGAGTCCTACGCTATTTTCATAGTCCAGAACCCTCCCATGATGAAGACGACTGTCTCCATCTGTTGACACCTCCATAGTCCACTTTCTGTGATCCACACAATGCTGTGGTTTCAGTTTTCGGGTCATAGTAGTCTTGGAGCACATGTCAACGCCTCCATCACCCCGGGGGCAGGATCACCTAACTGAAGATGCCTAGTACCGCCGACTGAATCATTGCTCTCAAAAGAACTCCACGTAGTGGCACTATGATCCATGTACCGTTTTGGCGCAGTCTCAGCGGACAGACTGGCTGGTGTTTGCAGCGAGTTTGGTCAGATCTGGCAGATTAGTGGGGGTCCGAAGCTGCCACCGGGCCTTATCTTGGATAGCCCCGTAGCCCCAGCCTCATCATGGCTGCTAAGCCAATGTCCACATTGGCCATACAGCCTTGCCTTCTGTCTAGCGACTCCTGCACCACATGCTGGGTTGTTCATTTTGACTTGTCCACCTAGGGTGGCTGGCAGATTACGGCCTCCGCAGATGCATGTGGCCTCACACCAAGCCACCTAAGCGTACTATAAAAACTGCCCATGTACCGCCTCCATGCTGCTCCATGGATTGGCATCCCAGACGTGCCTCATGTACACTTCGACGCCCTGTGCCATTCATGCTCCGCGCTGCCAGGAGTCAGCAGGGGTCTCAGCAGTGACAGTGAGCACTCCACCCAGCGAGTAGTCTGCTTGGTCCGATGCTCCACTTTGTCTCCAGCGCATGATTACACTACCAACCACCCGCAGCAGCAGTTCAGGGGTCCTCGAGTGCAAAGACTCAAACAGTCAGCAGTGGGCCTACGTGTTCACACCCTGCGCAAATGTAGACAATCCCCTGACTACTGCGTGGCAGAAGCGGTAGAGAATTACCTTTGGCCCCTAACTAGCTGAATTTGCCCTTGAAAGGCTGCCAGCCCCCAGTACTGGCATCGTACGCCTTTTGTCGCAATATGTGCAACTCCGCCAAAACACGCCGTGCCACGCAAAGGCTGCTAGGGTTCCACAGTAAATGACTACAACGTGGCGTCCCTGATTCTTCAGCAACGCATCTCTACCAATGACCTAAATCCCCCTCAGGCCCAAACCGTATGACCAGCTATCGGAGGTCTCCTCACACTCCTGTGGTTTCCATTTTTGTCATAGTGCGGGCATATTACGGCCCTCCCATACTGCAGCCAGGCCTTAATCTGCCATGGCCCCGTAATCCTCCCCCGCCTCCTCCACAGTGCTGCGATAGCCATCCACAAGTGTCGCATGGAGTCCCTTGAAACCGCCATCTCCAAGTGCTGACTGTCTCCTTCGCCACGCTCTGCCATGTGCCACTTTTCAGTCTCCATCACACAAGATGCGGTTTTACATTTTTTTTTCATAAGGGTGCTGGCGAGAATACTGTCCTCGCCATTCACTGCTGCCAGCCCGTAATCTGCAATGGGCCCCGATAACCGCATCCCTCCTGACTTGCCCCCCTGCCAGGTTCCACAGTCTCCTCATGGGTCCCTGTAACAGCTCCCATTATGCCTGCTGGCTTCCTCTGCCGCACACTCTGCCAGTCGTCCAGCTGTTCAGGTCTCCTCACACTGCTTGCTTGTTCATTTTTTTCAGTCTCATTTACGGGCTGGCAAGTTACTGCTGTCCCCCCTCCACACCGGGCACCACCGCCCCTAATCTGCCATTGCCCCGACGACTCCTCATGCGCTCCAGGGGCCCCTAAACTGTCTGGGCCCCTGTTGCGCTTGTTGGGATATTCCCCCTTTGTTCAAAATGCTCCCCTTTTTCCGCCCACTCCCCCTTTTACGGATTCCGTCACAGTCCCTTTTTTGGGAAACCGGTTCCCCAAAAACAAAGTTTTTCGAGCACGCACCCACGGTGCCCGAAGCTGAACGCCCCTGGCCAAGTTGCTGCTGCCCCGGGTCGTAAACGTCATTTTCGCCCCTGTACCGCCTCCTCATGCTCGCCAGGTCCAGAGTGGGGTCAGGGGGCCCCCGTAACCCACTCCCCATG